GATTCGGTCTCTGTATCGATAATAATGTCTATTTCAATAAGATTTTCCAAAAAATATGTAATGTACAGATTCGACTTGGTTACAATTTTATTATACGTATAGACTAGTGTCTTACCTTCGCTCGGGTGTGTGCACATAGCGTTGCTGCAGTTTAATAGAAAGATCTTTTTGAGAGGAATAATTCTGTAATATATTGTTTTCATATAACTTTATTATTAGTATACGCGGTTTACGCACGCTAATAAAGCTTGCAGTCGGCATGATTTTTTTCGACATATTTAACAATCATCGTCATATTTAATTGTTAAATAACTAGGGCTTGAGCGTATAAAGAAGCTTAAACTATTTCGACTTTAAACTTTATTTAAATCCATTGAATCGCCTAAAGAATAAACTAACACATTCACTCACTAAATTAATTTACTTGTTAAACTTATTTACTTACGAACTTGTTAAAGGGAAAGCTAACATAGGTATTTCATTTCAATCAATCGAGTGGGCCTATAGATATAGGTCATATTATGTGGGAGGCTATGCATATTTGCACATTGGCAAACCAATAAGCAAAATATTTTCTTAGATTTATGCAAATATTAATATTTTGTACTATAACTTTTGAGACATCTAAAGCCTCAGTCTCACCCGTGACCATGATTATTGTAAAGCATTCGAAACGTCGGGAACCAAAATTTAAAATAAATACGCGATATAATCTTAAATTATCAAAATTTAGTTAAATACGAAACTATATTATGGTTTGTTATTAATTGAAATGTGCCTGTGGGAATACGAGAGTGTGCTAATATTTCCAGAAATTCGACGTAATAAAACATGGGAAGTTTTATTATATAGAAAAAATAAAACATTTGGATGAAAATTGATGTATAATACTCGAGGGCATACGATTCAATGTACATTGTTGAAAGGCAAAAATCATGACCCGAATTGCGTTCGAAGGAGGAAAAATGAACGAAATATACCATTTATAAATAACAATATGTAATATATCATGTATAAAAAATAATATTGTTAAATATGTGTGTAGGTATGTTTTTGTTTTTATCCTAAAAATATTCTCCTGAACAATTTCAACCTCGGCGGCCAATTTCACTGAGACTGCCAATTGCGCAATAGATGTTATAGTGCAGATATTAGTGCAAATTACGATGGGACAAGATCGGTGAGAGTTAAAGCGCAGGACCGACGGCTTTACGTGCTCTTTGAGACACCGGGGTGAAACACCGCCAACTTCCCAACTCTGGGTTGTTACTGGGACTTTCTTCACAGAAAGACTCAATAAATAAACTAGGCCTACACGTGACTCAATCACAGGACCTCCAGATGTGCAGCCGTACATGCCAGCCACTACACCACCGAGACAGTTACCGAAATTTTCCACAGATATTATTTTTAGTTATTGTTGGTTGTATATTGTTGATGTTTAGGGTTATAAGCTAACATAGGTTAGCTTAGTAATATACACAGGCTTCTTTTCATCAGTTCAATTCAATTATCAACATTAAGATGCTGATGCATTCATATTAATTATTATATTATATTTTTACCACGTCATGTGCGATTAGAATCTTAAACTAAATTTTTTCTAGTATATAAAGAATGTAAATTACTAGAGAATATATTTACTAAGATATTGCTATTACTTTATAATTTGTATATATGTATAAACTATAATAAGTATACTTCAGAAAACGAAAACAATTGAATGAAAATAACTCAACTACAACAGTATGACCGTACCATATTATATATAATCAGTCCTTATGTGAAAGCCGTCATTTTGGACAAACGTACAAATGGACTCTTATTCATGTTCTTTGAAGGGATGAGTCCTACAAATTTGTCAACTAATATTTCAAGTTGCGTTGCGGATTACATGGGACGGTGTGCGGAGGAATATTGTGCAGGCCTTTTGGGTTGAGAGAAGTAATAACGGAGGGTCTTGGAATATTATATTTTATTTATTGCTTTGTTTACAAAAACGATAAGGGAAATGATGAAAAAATGGTATTCTTTATAAACTTTAGAATACTTTTCTATGTGTATGATAAAAAATTGAATATTAAGGATGATTCATTAAGCAATTTAACTTTTCTGTTCTAAATTTATTAAAAATGTTATTATATCTATAATAAAAACTCTAATCCTTTTTCCAAAATAGATTAGCCTTAGTTGCTCTATATAACATCAAAATTGGTCTAGACGTTTCGGAGATTAGCCGTGACAGACAGATGGACAAAAAATTAAAAAGTTTTTTTTTAATAAGTATATAATATGTACTCGTACTTTCATATGCATTTAGTACAAAGCTGTTATTTTGACATTACAAACAGACACTTCAATTTTATTTATTTGTATAGATTTACAAAACAAATACCTTCATCTCTTTTAGGGATATTTTCTAAAATATTAAGTAAAGGGCAAAACTAAAACGATTCACAAGTTGTAAACAAAATGAAATGTAGTATCATACACCACCACACGGTAAAGGAATACAGAAATAATGTCTGAAGGAGTGTGGGAACGAATGAAATAGAAATTATATATTTATTCTTATGTTAGCAGTCGCTGCCTCGGCGGACTCGTAAATACATCTGCTTTAATAGAACAAGATAAAGGCTTCAACACAATAAAAGTTGAGCTATGCAAGGGACTTCATCTAAAATGTTGTGCTGGTCTTTAGATAATTTTACTAACTTTCTATACTTACAAGGCTTATATATAAAGTAAATATATAAATAATTTAGCCTTTTCGTCGACTAGGTACGACAAGGTAGACTGCTATTAATGCTACGGGGATCACACGTCCACTATACTTTGCAGATTTCACAATATATCTTTCGAAATGTAGTGTACTAACTCTTTGAAAAATATATATAAAATTTTATTATTATATGTACATAAAAATGTAGAGATTCGAGATTTGAATTTGGTCCTGCTTTAATTTTGTTTTCAAGCAAGTTTGTTACTAATGGACCGCTGCTCCTACCTTTACGGTAAAAATAAATCAAAATTAGTATTTTTATGTATCTCTAATATTTATCTATAACACGTGTTGTACTTAACTGTTTAATGCTATCTTTTTTAATGCTAATTAAAGCTAAAATATAAATTTTTGATTCAATTCCAATTCTTAAGTTTCTTAAATGCACTTATAACTTTTCCAATATCTTTCTAGCTGCGCTACAATATAAAGATCTAAGCATAAAATCCTTCTTTGACCTTTTGTTAAATAAGACTCCACACAGATAATATTACCGTAAACATATTTAACTACAGGTAGCTGCCGCCACAAACAAAACCAATACGTCAATATAATTCCCAATTCACACTCGTGTCAGATTGCAGTTTGTCAGTCGCTCATATAGTAACAGAACACGACAGTTGCAACGCATCACCGGCTCTGAAAGCTAACGCAATGTGCTTTTATGTAGCTTTATCCATGTAAAAGCTCTTGTAAAAAATGGTTATAAAAATTCTTAGTAGTATTATAAATATGAAATAAAATTTATTAGATCGGCGTTCTAGCACGCAATTATGTATATTGTATAGAGTTTAAAGTCTGAGTTTTTCTTTTTTTTTAATGTTGGAAAATGCATTTACCCATACCATGCTAAAAGAGTAAAGGTGGGTTAACTATGTTTAAAACTGAGGTTTTTTTTCTGATTTTTATAGATTTTTATAGGAAATTTTGTTTTGTATTTAACTTTGAAGAATCAGAGTCTAGATTTGCTTCTAGATGAGAGTACTGTAGTTTAAAAAAAGATTATTTGGCAGATTTATACATAAAAATGCGGCAAAAACTATTATATATCTAAAATAGTAATGTTTTTTGTATATAAACAGAAAAGCTTTTATAGAATAATGTAAGTATTCGTATAAACTTGAAAACTTACTCAAATTATAGAACATCGCACGATGTATGACACGTGAGTCTGACAGGAATTGCCTTGTGTTGTATGAAAACCGATTTACGCGTCGTCAATCATAATTACACCTGAAAACTTTACAGATCTGACATTTACAATATCATCTAAGTACCTACATAACTGTAAAATCATTAAGAAAACCCTTGTCGGGGTAGCGCTAGGCATGTACGATTGCAGATTCTGAGGTCCTGCGTTCGAGTCTAAGTTGGACTAAACGATTTATTGGGTTTTACTGTCAACCAATTATCAGTATTTTGGATTTCCGTTCTACTGGTCTAAAAAATGTCAAGCATTAGAGAGTATATTTGTGTTTTCGCACACGCGTACTGCAATAAAATATCTATTGCACACTTTGACCGAAACGCTCTGTATTTAATATACATTTTTTTTATTATTTTACTTTTTTATCTATCTTATTATGTGTTTTTTATGTATCAACGACAAATTACCATTTATCGTTTAAAAATAAATAAGCCATTAGCTAGAGAACCCTACAATATAACTTAAGTCATCATCGAATCACTCATAGTGGTGACGGTAGAAAGTGTTATTAAAAGCTTAAAAAATCTCTTTTTGTCGATCAAACGCTCAATACTGGATTAAATGTAAAATGCAATGAATGAATTTAAGAAAAAAAAATAGTGTGTATAAAAAATATAATTATAACAATTGTTGTCATGATACTACTAATAGCTTCTTATAAAGTTTTGAATTAAGGTACGATTACTTTATGTGTAAGGTTAAAAGTACTTTCATTTATTTAAAAATAAAGAAGTAAGCTTTATCATAAAGCTCAACATTGAATGAGATTCTTTTTTTCTGGAAGCGATTAGTCTATCTTTATAACATTCCGCATTTGGAATTCTCGCATCAAATTCAGTTGCATTTCAAAAGCTTCATCCGTCACATGCATTTATATAACATTATAATAAGTAACTATCACCTTTGAAGCATTATTCAAATCGGGCAAATAACAATCTTACGCAAATGCCACAAGAGCAAATATCGTATGAAATAATGAAAGGAGTGTTCCCGCTAAAGAGGCTGTAACTAATGAAGGGATCAAAGGGGACGGAATTATATTCCGCAGTAATGTTAGAACAAATGAGTCGACTGCGGCACCTGTCCGTCGACGGGTCGCCCGACCGCTCCGCCGACTCGTCCACGCGCGGCACGGACGGACGTCTCTCTGTCTGTTCATACATCAGATGGTCTCGTCGTGACGCTCGCGTCGCGCCACGTCGTCTAATTAGTCCGTCATTAGGAAGATATTATACTTTTTGGAGGTTCGCTTTGAGTTGAATCGTTTGAAGTTTTCATTAATTAAACATCATTTTTGTTTTATTTATATTGCGTGTCTTTTATTTATATCCTCAAATATTTATATTCTGAAAATTGGTGGTCGACAAGAGCCTTTAAAATCGGTTTTTTTTTACTTTAGCAATGTGTGAATAATACAAATATAATACTTACTATTTCCTTTACTTAGATTCATATATACCTCAAATTGATATCAAAATTTCATCGCCATCATGTATTCAGTCCTTTTGAATGTCCCACTGCTGGGCACGGGCGTCCTTTCAATACGAGGGGGACCAGGCCATAGTCCACCACGCTGACCAAGTACGGGATGGACTACACAATACACATGTCTTTCGAAAACTTGCTAGGTTCTATCAGACATGGCCGGCCTCCTCATGATGTTTTTCTACATTATAAGACAAGCGGTAATCATATTGAAAATGATTCTCAAATGAAAATATCAGAGGTGCGAGACCCGAGATTTGAACCCGCTTCACTGGGTTTCCCAAGCGAGCGCACGATCACTGGGCTACTAATGGTAATATATAAATCATACAAATGCTATAACTAACAACAAGAATCACATCCATTTTTACATATATACTACTAGTATATTATGAATTAAATATTCAGCTTTTATAATGAAAAAACAATAAAATATTTGCTACCATTATTTCCATTTTAATATCGAATTAAAAAAATAACTTTAACGATTATAAATTGGACTTTTATAAAGTTTAACGAGCGTGAAACTTTTGTTATTTACAAAACTGTTTCTGTAGAAGCAAACGAATTTTGTAAATAGGCTATTAAGCAAAAGTATTATGGATCTAAGTATGAAAATAAATTAATTTTCAAAAAAAAAACATTTTTAAAAACAAGCTTTTACTTAAATGCTTTAAGAAAAAGAAGATAAACTTTAATTTAAGTCAAACACATTAATTTATTACATTATATAATCTATATAATATAAAAGCTTGTCGCGAGATTTACCACCGCTGTAGATTGACGGCACTTAAAACCCGCCAAATCTGTACCTTTTTTTCTTAGAATTACTTATGTTAAGATCAAGTTAGATATTTTTGTTTATCTACACAGGTAAATCTCGCGACACACTTTAATATTATATATATTGTGTAATGTAATTGATGGGTTTGATTTAATTTAAAGTTAATTTTCTCCTTTTTTTTAAAAAGCGTAGTCGGCCATGTTTGGGAGTCCGCCATATTAGATTTAGCATGACGTCACTTAAATAACCACACATTGTCATCCAAACTACGTATATGTTAAATTCCAGCTCAATCGGTTGAGGGTAATTACTTTAAATTTCAGTTGCGAGATTTGACCCAAACAAAAAACATACATACATACATAAAAGTATTTCAAAAAAAAACTTGTAATATTATATAAATTCATGAAAATCAATTAGTTTATTTGGTACCTCATAACCCGTCACGCATCCCCCATCGGCGAGCGGGTACCCGGGAACAGGGTTTTTGCTGACAGAAAAAAAAAACACGGAGAGTAATCCTTCAATGGATGTTTGTAAAATCTTCGAATTTGGCCTTATTTAATTCGTTTTAATGAATACCATATACTATAATTGAGAAACAAGGCATATTTAACTATAATTATAATAACTTGACTTATGTTCCTATGTCCCCTAGGTGAGGCAGAGGGCGTCCATAGTGCATCGCCATCCCGTATAATATAATTATAATAAAATTATAATTTTAAATTAAATTCTACATTTCAGATATTTCCCGATTTTTTATGGAAAAAAAATTACAGTAGAAAAAATCTAAATAAATTTTGAAATTATAGCTATTTTTTATATGTTGATTCATATAAAACTAAAAAATATATAATAATGAATACGAGAGTACATTTTCTATTCAGTTTTAAAGAGTTATCTAAACAATATTAGTTCATATCGGAAGAAGTAACGCAGGCACCCGATAAATCTGTTTTAGTTATGCAAATGTATTATTAGGGATCTTTGTGTTTGTGTTGGGATTTTGTGTGTTTTCGGGTCGTCGACAAATTATGGTACTAGTGAGGCCCTTTTGGCGAGATTACTTACATAACTTATATACAATACCAATCGGTATGGATTTAAAATTATAAAAAAGTAAGTAAATGTAAGTATACCTTAAAGAAAAGGCACATGCCTTTTCTTTGTCGTATTAGAATATTATATTTTTTGACACATGTACATATATTATCATTTAAAAAAAATTAGCGTGTTTGTTTGTGCGCATTTTTCCGAAGGTATAAGATAGAGAAAGCTATGTACAAATACTACACCCACCCACCATACTACAATCTCCAATAAGGTACGCAACGGAACCGCGAATAAACATTAGTAGAATATAATAGAGAAACTTAAATATTTCGTAAGAATTTTTTAAAGTATTTGAAATATTGATTCAAAAACTATCTTTTATTTAGTTTATAAGATAAAGATCTAAACATATAAAAAAGTTACTTGTATAATATTATTTAAAAAACTAAATTAGGTATAACTTAGGCTGATTATACACAAAATTGCAAAAAAGGCTGCCCAAATAGTACCTACACAAAGTTTTACTTTATGAAAAAAAAATATATCTAGTTCACCTTTATTTTCATAGTAACGCTAAAACTACAAAAAATCTCTAAAAATGTAGTTTCATACAAACTTCCATCAATTATTTTGCCCCCTTATAGGATGAATTTCGAAAAATGCTTAAACACATATTTATTTAATTTTATTGAAGAGCATTAATACCAAGTTTCAAGTAATTCTGATCATAAATACTTTTTTGGATTGTATTATAACGTGTTATCCCGTGGGAATTAGGTAATCTCCAAGTAGCTCCATAAAAGTAGCCTATGTCATTCTCCAGCCCTCCAACTATCTCCACACAATAAATTACGCCAATTCGTCTCTTCGTTTCGACGTGAAAGAAGGAAGAACAAACAAACAAACACAATTTCACATTTATAATATTAGTATGGATATCAGAATAATATAGCTTTAGTTTTACATATTATTATTACAGATATTTTAGGATATCAATTATATTATATTATTAGTGCGTAGCTTCACTCGGCTTCTCTCACCCACGCGCTGTTCACGCGTCAGTGACTCCTGGTGTATGAGCGTTGAGCGTACTTGACTGGATATAAAATACTTTAAATAATTATATAAAATTAACTTTATATTATTTATTAATGTTTTATATATTTATAATTTGTTAGATAATTCTGAAAACGTATGTCTTGCGAATATTTTGCATTTTTTTATAAGTCACGTTTTATATTTCTTTTCAAACGACACGAATGCTTAAAAAATATTTTTTTTATTATATGCTCAGAAAATTGAATATAAAAACGGGTCTCATTTCATTTCATCATTCCAGCAAAAAAGCAAAAATAGTATAAAAGGACATATTACATTAAATGACTCATACGATTAATTATTATGAATGCTTATAATAAAACATCTATTTAAATTAAAAAAAAAACATAAATTTTATGCAGAATTATTATTATACTAGCGATTTCACCATCGCTTCGCTTCGGCTTTGTGCCTGGACAAAAAGAAATCTATTCGAGCATACCTCAATAAACGGGTTATCTAATACAAAAAGAATTTTTCAAATCGAATGAGTAGTTCCCGAGATTAACGCCTTCAAACAAACAAACAAACAAACACAAACAAATAAACAAACAAACAAACAAACAAACACACACAAACAAACAAACAAACGAGCAAGCGATTCACCGAACGACCAAACGAAGGAACGAACGAACCAACTTTATCTCTTTATAACATTAGTTTAGGTTGAATTTAACTTTGAAGCGCAACACATAATATTTTGATTATAATATTATTAACATGATACATTTGTTTTATATGGAAATAAAATTAATCCATGTTGCGAAGCTATGCCCATGATTTCGTTGCGCGGCTCAGCGATATCAATAAAGGAAAAGAAACAGTTTTATAGATTTTTTTATTATTTTGATGGACATTTATGTGCCGTAAATACCGAATTTGGATAAAAGTTTTATCCTTTTGGGATTTATAGGTGCAAATTGAACAGAAACTTGACGTTACTGAAGCAATAATTAGATTATAATACCATGAAATCAATTTGTATTAAGTAATATATTATGTATGTTACATTAATTTCCCAAGAAGTGCGATATGCAAAACGATAATACTAGGAGCAAACACAAACTTGTAATGCGTGGGACTCGTCTACACAGAGTCAGTAATTCTTTTTATGGACAACATAGGTAGACGCTTTTACAAGAGGATCCCAGAAAACGTTCAAAAAGCTTCTTTTTTCTTTAAAAAAAAATGTTAAAAAAACTTTTGTGTGCTAAAGGTTATTATACAATTAATGATTTTATAGGAGATGACACGCCTTGAGAATGGTTTGCTCGCCTCCAGGCTGCTTTAATGTTGTAGAATCATTGTAATTTATAATTTTATTTACAAAAAATATAAAAAAAATTATTTTAGTTTCGCTAAACTTCTTTAGTTATTTTTTTCAGGTTGGTAGTAGATTCATGATGTTCAGTAAAAATAGTAATAATGTAATTTTGAATAAAATATTTAAATTTGAATTTGACAAATAAGTAAAATTTTCTGAAAATCTTTGTATATAGTTACACATTCTGTGACTAAGTTCAGCCTGTAGTTATACAGAAAATGCTAAACATGCAAGAATTAAGGAAAACTACATCTCTTATATACTTTTATATATATATATATATATATATATATATATATATATATATATATATATATATATAAATATATATATGTGTGATATAATAAGTTCCTATAACTTATTAAGCGTAAATATAAGTAAATACAAAATCAAACTATTTACCCATTCTCATTCGTGATGCCACAATTTCAGTGTAATCGTCAATTAGCCGCGGTTTGCTCAAATTCGTATTTGTCTAAATCATTGAGCCGAATACCTCCATTTCATATT